GAGAGAGAGAGAGAGAGAGAGAGAGAGAGACAGAACATGAGCGGCAGAAGTGCAGAGAGAGAGGGAGACACAGAATCCGAAGCAGGCTCCAGGCTCCGAGCTGTCAGCACAAAGCCTGACGTGGGGTTCAAACTCACGGATCACGAGATCATGACCTCAGCCAAAGTTGGACGCTTAACCTACTGAGCCACCCAGGCGGCCCCCAAATTTTGTTATTATACACCACCAACTGAAACACTAGAAGTAATTTATAGAGGTCTAATATACTGTTTGTCCTCTCTGTAAATTCCTTCCAAAAATGAAACAAAACTCTAGTTAGCAGTAGCTACTCATATATATATATTTTTAAATAGCAATACTCAAATTTTATCTATAAAAACAGATTTGCAAATACTATGTAAGAAATGATTAAATGCACAGGGAAGAGGGCTTAATAGTGTTAACAATCTATACTTCTAATATACATTCCCAGTTTACCTGAAACACTAGACCACCTTCCCCATCAAGACCACCTTCCCCCGCTCTTTTGGTTTGCATTTCAAACAACAGCTATTTTCTTTGACTCTTCTCCACCTGGAAAAGTTTTAATATACTCTTTTGGGAGAGGAATCCTCTTTGAAAGAGCCAGGTTACTTTCTCCAGACAAATAAAACGAACATAAACATACCAATATTTTGTATGTAATTCCATTTATTTTTTTAAATTAATTAACTTATTTTGAGGGAGAGTGAGCATGAGTGAGGGAGGGGCAGATAGAGAGGGAGGGAGAGGGAGAGAGGGAGAGGGAGAGAGGGAGAGGGAGAGGGGGAGAGGGAGAGGGAGAGAGAGGGAGAATCCCTAGCAGGCTCCACACTATCAGTGCAGAGCCCAATGTGGAGCTCGAACTCACGAACCGTGAGATCATGACCTGAGCCAAAATCAAGTGTTGGACACTTAAAGGACCGAGCCACCCAGGCGCCCCCTGCATGTAATTTTAAAGTTTACACCTTTCTGACCTTTCTGAAGCCTCCCACTAGTCTTGAGAATTACCACTAGAGTAAATCAAGACCATGGATTGATCACGGAAGAAGAGGAAAGAGGCAAAAGATGTGACAGCTATTTATTGAACACTACAGAAATGTACCGTTCTAAGGCTTACTCTACACTTGGCGGATTCTGAATCCTAACAACCCCAGGGAGGAGGTGGGTCTGTTGTTACCATTTATTTGACCAGAAGCAGATGCCTCCTGCATTACTGGTTAAATAACCAGAGTAGCAATCCACTTACTCACAATGACACCTTTGAAACAACAATTAGAAAGCAATACATACCTCTCCAAATTCATAGAAAGTTCCATCTTCTTTCTTTATGTCGTGTTCTTTCAGCCACACAATAGCATCTGAATAGTTCATTCGCTTAAAAGGCCGTTTGGGGGGCTTGAAGTTCTATAACAGAAAGAAAAAATACAGTGTATGTGAAGAAGCAGTAACACTAAAAGCTCCATTTTAAGAAAAACTGTTCATCATTATTGCAAAATGTTATTTCAGACTAGCAAACAACGAGGACATTCTTACAAATGGAATCAAAGTTTCTCTTAAAAATATAAGTACAGAAATGCGGGAATGTGGTCAAAAGGTACAAACTTCCAGTTATAAAATAAGTCAGTCCTGAGGATATAATGTGCAACAAGGGGACTATATCTAACAATACTCGATTTATAAATTTGAAAGTTGCTAAGAGAATAGATCTTAGAAGAGTTGCATCGTAAGAACAAATTGTATATCAAATCATTATGCTGTACACCTGAAACTAATAATAAAGCTACGTACCAATCGTATGTTTAAAAATATATATATGTATATGTATGTATATATACACACACACACATATGTATGTATATGTATACATATGTATACATATACATATATATGAATATGTGTGTGTGTGTGTGTATATACACATAAACAGTGAGTTATTTCAGAGCTCACATCATTAAATCTAGAAAAACTGATGGTGAAGACTTCATTACTTTCCGAAAAAAAATTATGATTTTGCATGTCCATAAAACAGTACTCCTACCGGGTTGAGGTCGCGCACTATGCTTGCTGCAGGTGATTTCAAGACTCTGTCCACCACATCACAAACCAAGTCCTCCAATCGATTCAGGAGCTCCTCAAAGGTCAGGAAAGGGCACTCTGCTTCCACGTGTGTGTATCTGAAGAGCAAGATACTAGCTGGGGGCCGCTCTTCTTTTCTGCCAAGTTTCTCTCAAGCAAGGACATTAACATTGCAAAACTGCCCAGAAATGTGCAATTCCAGCACCACTAACCAACTCCCAACTCAGCAACTTAGTTTTAGGGCCCCTTTCTTTCCCCTGTGAATAGTGATTTGTTTATGCCTTATAAAGGATCAAGGCCAAGTGAAAGAAGAGCCCAAAGCTAGCTCTGGCCTAGGAGGCAAAATCATACATGACTTCCATTAATTTGTTGAACTGCCTTCCACATACCCTTTTAATAGGTCAATTTTTTTTTTTTTTTTACATAGTCATCGTTTTCCTACATAAAGATTGCTTCTCTAAACATACGTTCTTAAAAATATTCTTTTTAAATAACAATAAAAAGACAATTCTGTACTCAGCCAGGTGCCTTCGTGTTCTGGACTGTTCCGCCCGGTATGACTGTGCAATACAAAACACATCTCCCAGAGCCGGAATGCAGGTCTCGAGGTACAACTGAGAGGACTGAGTCAAAAATGCCTCTTCCCCAAAATAGTCCAGCTTGAAGAGCGTAGCACCACCTTCCACCTGTGTTTGCACTAACGTTGGAGGAGTAACCTGTTCCAATGGAAACACATAAATAAAGGCTAGTGAGTGCCACCATTCAAGTGTAAAAATGGCAGAAGGTATCGTTTGTTTTACAAAAGATGAACACACACTTACTTCATAGTATCCCCTATCAAAGAAGTGATCTCGAAAGCACCTAGTGACCACGGAACGTGCTTTCAGGATCTTGGACATGTTTTCTCCCCGGATCATCATGTGTCGGTTGTTGAGCTGGACATCAACATCCGACTCCTCGTTGATCAGGTTATCAGCTCCTCCGGCAGGGGCCAACCCGATCAGTTCCCAGAAGTCACAGCTCAGCTCATGGCCACCGGGAGCCTACATTTTAGAAAGAGGGGTGGGGAGAAAGGAGAGAGAGGAGAAGACAAAAAACTAACATTATTGAGGGTTTTAATTTATGTCAAAATTTTTGGTAACCTGGTATTTCTAAGACCTCATCAGTATTAGCCTACTTTTCCAATCACAAAGACCCAATAATTCAACTTTATATTGATATTTTTAATATTCCTCTCAGAGTAAATATGCAATTTAAAAACAAAATAGAAAAGCACTAACTAGAAAATAAATGATAATCTTGCAACTTGGAGTAAGTACTAACCACCATTACCAGCCAGCGTATCTTCTCACCTTTGCCCGATAATTTAAAATAACACTTTACAGGGGCGCCTGGGTGGCGCAGTCGGTTAAGCATCCGACTTCAGCCAGGTCACGATCTCGCGGTCCGTGAGTTCGAGCCCCACGTCGGGCTCTGGGCTGATGGCTCAGAGCCTGGAGCCTGTTTCCAATTCTGTGTCTCCCTCTCTCTCTGCCCCTCCCCCATTCATGCTCTGTCTCTCTCTGTCCCAAAAATAAATAAATGTTAAAAAAAAATAATAAAAAAAATAAAATAAAATAACACTTTACTTATATTAAAAAACTCCTTAAATGCAAAGATTTTACCAAAAGCTGTTTATCTTTGGAACAGATACATGACAGAAATTCAAATTCTCCCTAATAATTCCATTAATAGCAATTCATTTTAGAAGCCAGGCATCATGGAATATATGTAATTATCTTGGTGCCAAACCCTGGAGAGCAAGTAACACATCATAACGACTACTCCGTTTTGCAAATGACATTACGTCAGTGAACTTGAGTCATATTTATTCTTAATGTAGGTTCTTTTACATGAAGTCCGGGAGACCCTCTTTTATCGGTATTTCTAGTCTATCAGGAAGACTCTAGGGGCTCCCTCTGGTGGTTAATATGCCACATTTGTTCGTTTTCTTTCCCAGCCAACAAGCAGAACCACAGTAATTACCTGAACGATAATTACCAACAAGTAGCTGTAACTGGGGTGGGTTATGGGCCTGTTGGCTGGAGAACAAACAACTCTCTATCAGAATTACAGTTCACTTTTTCTAAAAGAGACTTTCAAATTCTGTTCATAAAATTTCAGATTCAGGTTACTGTCCTCTCATAAAATTTTTGGGGGAGATGGCTCTTACTTCCACCTTGCTGAAAAATTATTCACACATCCGTAGCAAAGTGGCTTTACTATGGCCCCTGAGGGTTATTTAAGAAATCTGTAAAACTGGAAATCCCTGAGTTTGTTGTATCATGTGAGATGTACAGTGTACATATTTTGCTGGAAAAGGTAAAGGGATGTTAAATTTAGCAAGGACATCACAGTAGCGGGTTTATTTCCCAAATACAGAAAGTACAAATAGAAAAGCACTGGAGAACAAACAACCACCTATTCATCCAGTGAGGAATTCAATCTACTCACCTGCTTGCCCTTTGGAGTCAGATTTAGCATCCCATAGACTGCAACGCTACTCTCGGTGGCCAAGACTACTCCATTGTAACACTGACACTGTAAAAAGATTAAAGCTCAAATTTACTGACTCATATTTACGTCAAAATATATGTTCCAATGCATAGAAAACTAACGGGATTACTTACATAGAAGTTACCTGGTCTAAAACCGGTAAAATAATACGGCCATTAGTATTTAGTACTAATATCTACTATTAATAGCTATTTTCGTGGGGGAAGGATCCATCCATTTACAGATAAACATATAGAAGTAAATAGACACTTTATACACATATATATGCAGAAATGACAGTAGCCCACATCTCTTAAAAATATCTGAACAGTCCATTTTTTTTCTTTAAAATTCAGACTGTTGAAATAATAAACAGTCCACCTAGACTATGATCGTCGATACTACTAAAATCATTAGGACAAAAGTGACAAGTACCTTTATAAGGGAGGGGTCAGGCTATCAACACTTCAACTCACTATCATCAAATCATAAAAAAAAAAGACAACATGTGTCTTTATGTGTTTTATGATATGATGCGATTGAAAGAGCAGAGCCTCGCCCAGGAAGTAGCTGTGTCAAAAACAAACAAACAAACAAACAAACAAACAAAACCAAACTAAACCAGACCAAACAAAAAAAAACCCAAAAACCTGAATCTGATAAGCTTATAAGAAATACAGAGGATAGAGGAACATGTTAAATGACATCTCAGGATGCAACCAACCAAATCTAGAATGGACAAGTTCCACAAGACAACCAACTAGGTTTTTTCAAACAAATAAACAGCAAGGGCTGGTTGTAGGGGGGCAGGTGGAGGGAGTGAGGATGGAGGAAGAAAAGAAAAAGGAAGAAGGGTTACAGACTGAGATTTCAGACCCACATCAACTCAAAGGAATACATAGATCTGGTTTGGGTTCTCATTCAAACCAACCAATTAGGAGTGGTCTTCATTTTAGGAAGTTGTGATAACATTAGCATGGTTATCTTAGAAATATTTTTTGGGGGGGCACCTGAGTGGCTCAGTTGGTTAAGCCTCGGACTTCGGCTCAGGTCACAATCTCACAGTTTGTGAGTTCGAGCCCCGTGTCAGGCTCTGTGCTGACAGCTCAGAGCCTGGAGCCTGCTTCGGATTCTGTGTCTCCTTCTCTCTCTGTCCCTCCCTGCTCATGCTCTGTCTCTATCTCTCAAAAATAAATACACTTAAAAAAATTTTTTTTCTTGGAGATGCAAATTCAAGTATATTTATATGAAACGGTACAATGTCTGGGGAGTAAAAGTGGGGGGGTGTAGAAAACCAGAACTGGCCACACATTAGTCATTACTTAATGACTTAATGTTTTTGTCCCCCTAAAATTCGTATGTTGAAGTCCTGCACCCCAATGCACGGGGTGAGGAAGTGAGGCCCTGCAGAGGTGATGAGGATGAGATGAGGTCATGAGGGTGGGTCACGGGGTTAGCGCCCTTTTAAGAGTTACCAGGGTTTGCCCCCCTTCTCTGCTCTCTGCCATGTGAAAATGCAACAGGAAGTTGGCAGTCTGCAACCAGGAAGAGGGCCCTCACCAGAACACAATAGGCCTCTAGAACTGTGAGAAATAAGTTTCTGTTTGTAAGCCACCCAATCTATGGTACTTTATTACAGCAGCTGAAACTGACGAAGATGTTAACGAAGCTAGGTGATGAACCCCTGAGGTTTCCTCATACAGCTGACCTGGAACAATCTGGGAGTTAGGGGTGCTGACCCCCTGCACCGTCAAAAATACACTTATCACTTGATTCCCCCAAAACTTAACTAACAGCCTAAGGTTGACCAGAAGCCTTACCAATAACATAAAATCAATTAACATATTTTACATGTCATGTGCATTATATACTGTATTCTTAAAGGAAACTAGAGAAAGGGAGACGTCGTGAACAAGGTCATAAAGGAGAAAATACACTTACGATACTGTCAAAAAACCCATGTGCAAAGCGGACTTGTGCAGTTCAAACCCATGTTGTTCGAGGGTCAACCATACTGTTTCCTATTTTTATGTGTTGGAAATTTTCCATAATAACAGTTTAAAATACATAAACCGCTCCTAAAATTCCCAAAACTAACAGTAAAGGAACTTACTGAAAATAATCAGATTTTCAGCTATAAGGAAGAAAAAACACTTACCAAGTCATCCGACAAGACACATTGAAGATAACCCGTACCATCCCGCAACACTAGGAACATTAAATTCTTTCCTAAACGTGAGAAAGAAAAATTTAGCCAGAATGTTCTCAAGGCACGTAAAAGTACTTTCTCATAATTTGATACTAAAAAAGGAAACTCCATGGTTAAGTGTTAAAAGGTCAAACCTCCCTTGTGGCCCCCGTCCTCCCAAGCGGCCACTGGTAATATCACTACTCAGTATTCGTAAAGTTCTTTACTTTCTGCACTCTGCTCCCAAAGCCTATGTGAGCCTCATGATCCACGTGACCATGGGAAAGCAAGACAGTAAGCCACGTGAGACGAGGGATTAGGTCTTATTCACCCCTGCATCCCCTGTAATAACCTGGTGCTGTGTGCTCAGTGGGAGGGGCATAAACATTGCTGCACAGAATCACTCTTTTTATTTATGCCCCATCTTATTTCCAAAGGATGTGATAACTCCTTACAATAAAATACATGTAATAAAAATAATAATACGAGGGGTGCCTGGGTGGCTCAGTCGGTTAAGTGTCTGACTCCTGATTTCAGCTCAGACATGATCTCGTGGTTCCGTGGGATTGAGCCCCATGCTGGGCTCTGCACTGATGGTGAGGAGCCTGCTTAGGATTCTCTCTCTCCCTTTCTCTCTGCCACTCCCCGACTTGTGCCCAACTCTCTCTTAAAATAAACAAACATTAAAAAAAAATAAAAATAAGAGAAAGCAGAAAGTCAGAGCCGAGGAAGAAGTAGAATGCAGATACACTAATTATAGGAGTCAACACTACTGCCATAAATAAATTTCAGATCTGGCTTTGTACTTCCTGTAATACATCCCCTGCTTTTCATTAAATAATTAAATTCAAGTAGACAAATATTTACTGGATACTTCTGATCTCTGTGGTTGCTTACTGTTAAATAGCATTTAAATAATCTTTAAATAACTTGTATCTTAAATGCTTATTTATTTACTTATTTATTTATTTTTGAGGGGGCGGGGAGCAGAGAGAGAAAGAGAGAGAGGATCTCAAGCAGGCTCTGCACTGTCAGCGCAGAGCCTGATGAGGGGCTCGAAGTCACAAACCATGAGATCATGACCTGAGCCGAAATCAAGAGTCAGACGCTTAACCGACTGAGCCACCCAGGTGCCCCAGCATTTAAGTAATTTTTAAACCTGTAATAGTCATATTACAGAAGAACAAAGTAAGGCCATGGTTCACATCTTTTAAAACCTAGCTTCCCATACCAAAAATTTCACCCCTCTCCCCAAGAAAAGGTCTTTAATGTTCTCCTTCACCTAAGACCAGGGATGTTTAAAATTGAAGAGAGAAAAGCAAAGCTATACCATTTACCTTGCCTACGCAGCCTGTGGACCCAGCCAAATACCTTTACTCTTTGGCCTCTGTATCCTTCCAGTGCATGAATCTTCACCTGTCAAATTGAAATCAGTAACATTTGACCAACTGTGTAATTTACCACATATCAACTTCTCCACTACTATTAGACGGATGACAGTAAAAGTGTTAAAGATTCACAAATGGTACAAAACTACAGTCATTCTACAGCAGGTCAGAACCAACAAGTTTCACCATATTGGAGTGGTTAAAAAAAAAAAAAAAAAAATCCAAGTCTTCTCTTAGTGTAAAACTGACCCTGAGAAACATCGGGAATCTCAGATACTGATATATAAGCAATGATGAAATGAACTCATAATAGCAACAACCAGTCCACACAGAGCCCTCTCCTGCCCTCATAGTCCCTCCTGACATCGAAAGGTGGAAGCTAAGCAAGGCCAGCTTTTGCTTTGGAGGGGTAAGGAGAGAGGAGCACAGGAAGGGGAGCATGAATGCAGCCAAGACAGCTCATCGTTAAGGACACGGGAAAAATAGGAAAATTCATCAGGAGCAAGAACGACTTGACATTTAAGTATGTCCACTCACAGCCCAGCATCTGTTCTAGAGAAAATACAGAGGCATGCAATTCACAAAATCACAAAATGTTTTATCTGTTTAAAAAAGTCATGAAAACAGGGGAGCCTGGGTGGCTCAGTCGGTTAAGTGTCCAACTTCAACTCGGGTCATGATCTCACAGCTTGTGAGTCTGAGCCCCACATCAGGCTCTGTGCTGACAGCTCAGAGCCTGGAGCCTGCTTTGGATTCTGTGTCTTCCTCTCTCTCTCTGCCCCTCCCCTGCTCATGCTCTGTCTCTCTCTCTCTCCTTCAAAAATAAATAAATATTAAAAAAGAAACATCACTATTAAAAAAAGTTAATAATGAAAATCATGGATTTTCCCCTTATTTTATGGCGAGGAAATGGACAGGTAGGGAGGGAGGACACTTAGGCAGCTTTTAGGCAGGGCAGGAACCATTCAACACCTAATTACTAAACTTTATAATAAAACGAACCCCAGAAGAACCAGCCTCACAACTCGAAAACGTAATTTCCCTCTATGCCTTCTAAAAGGCAAGGAAGGGTAAATGGTGCAAAGGAACAGACCATGGGGCACGCCCCTCAGACACAGAGCTGACAGTCTGGCGTGGGAAGTCCACGGTATTTGGGACAACACGTGTCACACTCACACATTTTGGCTCTGGGAGACTTGGATCGTTTTTGATGGTAATTTTCTTTGCTTCTTCCAGGTTCTTTTCTCTTCGCAAATTGTCTTCTGCCTAATTTTAACAATAAAGCAATCTGTTAACACGGTTTCTAGTATTCTAACCCCAAAACCGTTCACAGTAGCAAAGTCATGACTCACCTCTTTCTTTTCCCGGGATTCACTCTTCATTTGTTCCCTATGCCACATTTTTTTAATGTTCTTCATCTGTGATTTAGAAATAACATCCCACCTCTAGAGAGGAAAACATATTTTTTCAAGACCTCCATGTTCTGATGCGAATGTCTTCACAAAATGTAATTCTGTTGAGTTTTTTAGCTCACCTACCTCATTTTCTTTTTGTGAATCTATGTAAATGGTGGGAAAGGGCTCTTTTCCTACCGTCATCAAAGCCTTGGGTGGGAAGGGAGAAAAAGAAAATTGCTTTGAGGTTGTACAATATTTGAAATCAAAATAACATCCTAATTATGAGGCAACTTCAGCTATCTAGAACATAATCAAGAGCCAGGAAGAAAAGCATACAGGCCCCAAGAGCCAAAAGTCAATGTTCACAGAATGACTGGTCAGATGTACTAAAACCACTTTGCTTAAAGTAGAAGTGCTCAGGTCCTTTCACAAAAATTCTAGCAAGTTCGGTTGCACATTACAGTTGACCCCTGAACACGGGTTTAAACTGAGCGGGTCCAGGGGCTCCTGGGTGGCTCAGCTGGTTGAACGTCTGACTTTGGCTCAGGTCATGATCTCACAGTTTGTGAGTTCAAGCCGCATGTCGGGCTCTGTGCTGATAGCTGAGAGTCTGGGGCCTGCTTTGGATTCTGTGTCTTCCTCTCTCTCTGCCCCTCCCCTGCTCACAGTCTGCCTCTCAAAAATGAATAAACATTAAAAAAAATTTTTTTTTAACTGAGTGGGTCCACTTATGCAGATTTTTTCCCACAGACACGGTATAGTACTGTAAGTACATTTTCTCTTCCTTATTTTTTTTTAAGGTTTATTTTTATTTTGAGAGAAAGAGTGCAAGCAATGGAGGGGCAGAGAGAGAGAGAGGGGGACAGAAGATCTGAAGCGGGCTCCATGCTGACAGCAGAGAGCCTGATGTGGGTCTTGAACTTATAACTGTGAGATCCTGACCTGAGCCAAAGTCGGACACTCAAATGACTGAGCCATCCAGGTGCCCCTCTTCCTTATGATTTTAACATGTTCTTTCTTCTAGTTTACTTTTTTAAAAAATACAGTATATAATACATATACCATTCAAAATATGTGTTGACTGTTTATGTGATTGGTAAAACTTCTGCTTAACGGGAAGCTATTAGTAGTTAAGTTTTAGGGAAGTCAAAAGCTATATACAGATTTGACTCTGCGGGGGTGTATTGTTCAAGGATCAACTGTATACAGTTTCCCAGTATAAGCAGACTGGAAGAAACAGATTTTAAGGGGCTGTGGGGACCAGCAGGAAGTATACTGAGAACGACAGAGGAGAAAGAGCTAACAATAAAATACAGCCACAGATTACACCTAAATGGTTAATCTTCATTAAGAAATCAGGGAAGTTGTTTCTGAAACTCTTTCAGAAACAAAAACAATGGTTGAGAACCTTAAGGCTAAATAAGCCTCATTTAATTTGAAAAATCCCTCCATGTAGAACACCTCTTTTCATAAATATGAAGACATATCAGGTGTCGCCGTGTCATTTATATTTCATAGTTTATATTACTTGATTCAGTCAACCACGAAATGTAACAAATTAGTCTCTCCAGGTATAGGATCTGCAGCTTATAAAAACTAAAGGTCTAGTTTCCAAACCTGGAAAATAATTTTCATCTTGTCTTAACGCTAACCCCAACTCAATGATCATCGCAGAGGAGGGAACCTGGATCTTTTAAAAAACATCCAAGAGAAGGAATTCTTTTTAATAATCAGACTTTATAGAGATGTTTGTAAATCATTAGGAATTTGCTACCTGACACTCTCTACTGATGGCTCTTTTTTTATCACTGAAATTGAAAGACCCAAACTTTAATTCTCCAAATTAGAATGGCACACTTTTGCTAATAGTGACATTCTGCAAACATTCACCTAAACACTGTTGTCAGTTTTGGGGAGCCATAGGAATCACCCCAAAACAACTGGAAATGAAAGATTTCCCTCTAAAAGTTATGACTCAGCCTCCATCACATGAAATTCATGCCCAGATTTCTTCTAATCTCCCAAGAGGCCTCTTAGTGAATTTACCACTAGAATCTAGATGTGATCCTGAGTCTTGAGACTCAAAGAATCTAATTTATATTAGTACACTAAGAATGGACCCGTTTCTCAGAACAGACACTCCGTGATTCAGGAGTCTGTAGAGTGAAGACAGAATGCTAATTTACTAACGTACTATTATTTCTCATGATCTAAAAATCCTTGGGGCGCCTGGGTGGCTCAGTCGGTTAAGCGTCCGACTTCAGCTCAGGTCATGATCTCACAGTTCGTGAGTTCGAGCCCCGCCTTGGGCTCTGTGCTGACAGCTCAGAGCCTGGAGCCTGCTTCACATTCTGTGTCTCCCTCTCTCTCTGCCCCTTCCCTGCTCATGCTGTGTCTCTCTCTGTCTCAAAAATAAATAAACATTAAAAAAAAATAAAAAAATAAAAATAAAAATCCTCTAGTGAGTTTCGCATGTTCTCTCTCAGGGTGATAAGAAAGAAAAAGAAGACACCTCTTCAAAATGTTCAAATTAAGTCTAAAACCTTCTTCATCCAATACTCTTAAAGCTACACAGCTGTATACATTCCTCATTTTCTCTTTCCTGAAAATTCTCTTCAAATCTACTTCTTGGGGTGCCTGGGTGGCTCAGTCGGTTGAGCATCCGACTTCGGCTCAGGTCACCATCTCGAAGTTAGTGAGTTCGAGCGGCGCGTCGGGCTCTGTGCTGACAGCTCGGAGCCTGGAGCCTGCTTTGGATTCTGTGTGCCCCCCTCTCTCTCCGCCCCACCCCTGCTTGTGCTCTGTCTCTGTCTTTCAAAAATGAATAAACATAAAAAAAATTAAAAAACAATCTACTTCCCGAAATAAAATCATTGACAACTCACAGAGCAATAAACATAAGTCATTAATAAAGACAAAGCCATTTTCCTAATGAGACGCTACCTTTAGACCTGTTTTAAAAGGTTTCTCCTTGGTTCCATCACCTGTAGCATCATTTCCCTCTCGATCCGAGACATAGAGCTCTGTTTTACAAAAGGAGAATAAGTTACTCACTTGGCCAATAATTATTAGTCACCTCATACTGTAACTACCTCATCCATTCTTTACCTTTGTGAACAGAACAAGCAACTGATTAGCAAAAATTACCACAGTCCAAAAGAAGTATTATAATTACTTTCCCACTCCCTTATTTCAGTGACATCACATAAAAACACACTAGTTACAAATTTGGCTTTTCAAAATGAACTTTGATGATTCTAATTTGTGAGACTGCTTCTGTATCTATTGGAGTCCGAAACAATTAAAACAAACAAACAAAAAAAGGCTTTGGAGTTGACCAGACCGGACTGGAATCTTGGATGTTGTGCTTTATTTTTTTTTTTATTTTTTATTTTTTTTGGATGTTGTGCTTTAAAAGCCAGGTGATCCTCGGGAATTCACTTAACCTTTCTGAGCTTATTGTCTATGAAATGAGGGAAAACATGATACCCATCTTGATCGGCTGCACGGAGGACGAAATAACACATGCAAAACAGATATCCCAGTGACAGTGCACAGATGTCAAATAAATACCAGCTCCGTCTGATCTTTAAAGGATACCGAAGCTCTGAGCTTAAACAAACTGCAGAAGGCCTTATAACTAGTTGAGTGTGAACAGTGACATCAATCCAGGTCTCTGTTTTCCTTTTTCTACTGCACCATATGGTCCCCCGGAAATATCAATATAAATGAGGATGTGTGAAAGCGAATTAGCATTCACAAGTCCTTTCGGGATGATCTCTTGGAAGAGCTTACATATTTGGGGATTACTCTGATGTCTCACAGTGCCTCGCAGTGCCCAAGTCTCAGCTGAATCACGAGATGGTTCGCCGTGGGGCAGGGTCCGGGGCTGCCGCCATCGCAGTCCCCGGAGGTTTGGGGGTTCCCGGGGAGCCGGGCCCCGCTCCGCTAGTCGGGACCCAGCGGGGGTCCAGGCCCCTCCCTCGCTCCCATCTTTCACGAATAAATAGCGGTGGACCGCCCACTCGGGACCAGGCAATCCACTGCAACTAGCTTCCTGCCCCACGCAGGGGCATCGCTCCACTTACACACTCCGGGGTCCCCGATCCCCGCTCACCTAGTACCATCCCTGCGGTCGGCCCGGTCACCTCCAAGGACATCGCCTGCAACGCACTGCTGCCTTATCACCCCAACGTGCACCGGAGGATTCCTCGACTCGGACGTTGCATCAGAACGACGCGCATAGGCCGTCTCGGCGAATCACCCGAGCGTCAGGGCGCATTGGTTACAGGAAGATACGACATGAGGGCGGGCGTCACTGTAGCCGCCATCTTTGGGTCGGGCAGAGACAACTTCCGGGTCCGACGCCCCGCCCCCGCGTGCTGAGGGGCTCTCGGCACTGGTCCCTTGGGAACTCCCAGGAGGCTTAGACCCGGGAGCCGGGGGAGGGGCTACAATCCTTTCCCTACGGTCTCCACCTGCCTGTTTTCCCTGGTGAATTCTGCCCCCAGCTGTAGGTGCGCTGGGGCCCTTTTGGAAATAACATTAGAAGTTTCGCTCTGTATCCCCAAATGTTGGAATGCTTGTGGAATTAATGTCATCAAATATATTGAGAGCTAGCCACGAGGTGGGGATGAGGGTGAGGGACAGAAGAGGCCCTCACATGGGTTGCCTGTTGTGACATATGAAGATGCTTTAACTTTCTAACGTAAATGGATGAACGTACAGTACTTACGTATTTACGATTTGGATTATGAATATTTTTATATAAAGTTGTAAGGATCACTCTTAGGCCATAATAATGCGGAAAGAACTAAGGCTTCAAACCTGGCTGAAATTCTGGTTCTGCCTTTTACTAACTGCCTTGGGGTAAATTCCCCAACCTGTCTATGCTTCAATTTCCCTATTTGGGAAGGATGATACAAGTACACTGCCCAGTGCATAATAGATACTAAAAAAAAAAAAAAAAAAAAGGGTAGCTAAGGTCATCATTGGTCATCATTCTCTGTTGAGTGGAATACCAGAGTTTGTCCTTGAGTCAAAGGAAAACTTATTTCTGTTATGAAAGGAACTAAAAATAACAACGTGCATAGGTTCAGACTCTATGGAGAATAGGAACCAAATACTTTTCTTCAAGAGTACTTCAGCTAATTTCACGGACTTTCCCTTTCCCTCTTTGCTAACTTTTTGTTTGTCCACACAAGTATTAGTGATCTGTTGCTGCAAAGCAAATTACCTCAAACCTTGGGCGCTTAAAACAACAAACACACAGTTTCTGAGGGCCAGGAATTCCAGGAGTGGGCTTCGCTGGGGGTTGGGGCTCTGGGTCTCCTGAATCAAGCTGTGGGCAGGGGCTGCAGTCTTCTGAAGTTTGGCTAGGGGAGGATCTGCTACGGAGCTCACTCGTATGGCTGTGGGCAGAAGGCCTACTTGCCTTCTTGTCCAGCTGGGTTCCCCATAATGCTTTTAATGACAGGACAGCTGACTTCCCCCAAAGCGAGTGATCAGAGAGAGAGAACCTGTGCTAATTACCTGTCGTTGTATATGATAAATTACCCTCAAACTAGCAACATTTGGCTTCTCATGTCTGTGGACCAGGAATCCGGGCAAGGCTTGGCTGGGGACTCTGGCTTAGGCCTCTCAAAAGGCTGCAATCAAGGTGTCAGCTGGGGCTGCAGTCATCATAATTTAAGATGCTTAAGTCTCACCTGGGGTGAATTTTCTTCCACACTCAGGTGAGTGTTGGCGGGGTTCAGTTCCTCGCTGTCTGTTGGCCTCATTTCTTTGCCATATGGGCCCTCCAACGGGCAAACATCACAGCAAGCAAACAAGATGAAAGGCACAGTCTTTTGCAGCCTACTCCCAGAAGTGACATCCTTAACGTTCACCATATTCTGCTTGTTAGAATCCAGTCACTTGGTCCAGCCTACACTCAAACACAGGGTTTTACACCAGGCATGACTATTAGGAGGTGAGGATCAAGGGGGCCATCTTGGAAAGCTGCCTCCCACAGTGACCAAATCCCAAGCTAAAGTGCCTTTTGTGATCTGATTAGTGAGGTAACATTTCATCCCGTTTCATCATTTCTACTTCTACTGGTCACACAAACCAACGTAGTACAGCACGGGAGAGGATTACACGAGGGGGTGAATACCAGGAGGCGAAGCTCAATGGGAACCGTCCTAGGGCCTGCCCGTCACAGCCCAGCCAGATGAATTTCTCCTCTTCACTTTGCTCTGGGTCCCAGAGGCTGACTAATGGGGAACACATCAACAGGCTCTCTGGCTTCTGGTGAGATACAGCTAGCCAGGAGCACGGGCAGGAGAGCAGAGCGAGGAGAGTGAGGTTGGGGTATTTCCCCAGCTCCCTCGCTGCAGGCTGGCTGCATCTAACTCCTGACAGGTGGCTCTAAGAAATTGTCATCTGGACTGCCCTTCATGCACTAAGGGTTTGGCCCACCAGTCTCTTAGTCCGATCTCCCTCCGAAACTTTCCCTACAGTATCGCAGGAACTTTCCCTACAGTATCGCTGAAAGGGTCACTTCCAAGAACAAAACTGAATGAATGAAATGAAATGAAATAAATGAAATGCACTGTTCCTCTGTCTCCTTATGCGACTCAGGCCAGCTGGGGGCGCCCCCTTCTCATGGTGCTCGAGGGCCCGCCTTTGCGGCCACTCAGGGCTCAGGGTCATCCCAGTCAGGGCTGATTTACACTTCCCTCCACCAGGCGCGGGATGCGAGTCGTTGACCTAATTCTGTATTGGCTCTCACGGGCCACCGTAGCGGACCGCCTGCTTGAACTCAGGGCGCGCGATGCCAGCGCCGCCATGTTGTCTCCGGCCATTTCCGCTTCTACCTCACCTGGTCCTGCCTTTCGGCTCCGCGCAGCACCTCCAGGTGTGCGTGGAAGCTCCCGGGCTCGCGCTCGTCGCGGAAGCCCTGCCTTTCCCGCGCTGTCTCGGAGCAATCCCGCAGACGTCTATAGAGTTCGCTCCTGCACCTAGCGATGTGCTCCTCGAGACAGTCTCCGGAGAGAGAAGATGCGAACTACACTGTAAGCACCTCTAAGGCTCCTTTACCCATCCCCAGGCCGGGAACGGGGACGGGTGTAGGGAGGGGAGGCCCAGTGTCCAATTAATTAGCGAGATGGCAAGCAATCCAAAAATCCCCGTCCTCCTTAACACCTGCCTGTAACTGCATACAAAACGTAGGAGTTACCGTGACGATGAAACTGTTAGCTTCAGGATTGTAACTTACCTTCTCGTTGTAAAGTTTAAGCACTTAGGTTTGTTCGTTAATTTCTGCGCTTTCCAGGCTCCTTGAGGTTTGTGAACTCGTTCGTAAGCACCTAATCTATAATCTCCTTCTAAAACAAGTTTTTTTTTAAAAAAGAGCGAAATCATTTTAAAACCCTGCTGGATGCTTACCCTGTAAGGATGATGAATAATGATAACTCTGCAGCTGGGGCGCTGAAGCCAGCTACATACATAGGATTCAGGACTCTCTGTCTTCTGCCTCCCTGACGCCGTCCGGGTTCCGTCACCAGTGTGAGGCACAGATTTTTCCATTGTAAAATGATAATCTTCTGGAAGGGCTGTTGTGAGTTTATTGGAGATCAAGTATACAAATATGCCTCGTATATGCTTGGCATACAGTAAGCCTCCTGAGTTAGAATAGAAATGGTATTAAAATAACATCATTAACTTCTTGTTTCACGATTCTGCACGAATCACATCTTCAAGCCTTCAACCAAACTGCTGAAGGACCTGCCCCATTTGCACCCTCACCCACTCAGCTCTTCCCTTGCTGAACGTCTCAGGAATTCAGTATCCCAGCGTGTCTCCGAATCTACAGACCCTTCTCACTGCCCCAGCTCTCAGCAAATGACCTGTTTTTTGCTTCAAGCTATTAAGTAGTAGCTGCCTGATAGTCCTCCCTTAACAGCCCTCAAACTTTCCTCTCCAACACCTATGCTTTCCTTCTAGTACAATCCAAGTAGTATCCTCTCTCCTGCCAACCCCTCTGCCTTTCTCCTGAAGCCTCACAGCTCTCCATTCAAGCCCTGGAGAACACTTAAAACAAAAAAACATTTTTTCTCCACTTGTCAACCTTCCATGATTTCCCTTTGCTCTCAGGATCCACCCCAGTGCCCCTATAGACTCCCCAGGCTGTGCTCTAGCCTACCATTTCTTCCTAAAAGCATAATTAACATCAGTTTAGCCTTTTTTTCACTGAGTTGTCTTGAGCATGATGTGGGATTTGGAAGAGCCTTTAAGAAAGGTGAAGACAGAGTGAAATGGAGAAGGAGCTGGGAAGCTTTCAAAGCAGAATGGTGTTCTTTGAAAGCTGTGAGAACTAACCTCTAGGTTTGAAGAGCAATCACTTTGTCCGTTTGGCAGGAGCTGGGGCCCTAGTGAGTCTCCAGGGGTCTCCGGCCCAGCTGATGATTTCTTAGTTTGTCAGGCTTTTTATTTTTTACTATGGGAACAGATCATGAAAGTATTTTCACCCCAAGCCACAAAATCCTGAGAAATATCCAAGTCTTAGACAAATCCAGTCAATTTTAAAAAAGCTCTTCTGGGGGACGGGGCTCCTGGGTGTCTCAGTTGGTCGAGTGTTCGACTCTAGATTTCAGCTCAGGTCTCAATCCCCTCCTGAGTTGGTCTCTGTGCTGACAGTGCAGAGCCTGCTTGGGATTCTCTCTATCCCCTCCCCTGCTCCCTCACTCGTGTGCACTGTGTGCTTTGTCAAAATAAATGAATAAACTTCAAAAAAAAAAAAAAAAAAGGGCTCTTCTGGGTTCACATTTACTGAAGATGTTTGCCGTGATGACATCTTGGTGCAAACTTTCCAGAAACTTGAACCAAAACTCTCCCTTTAGAAATACTACTTTATTGAACTCTCGAGTAAGCATTAAATTTTTGTGTTGGTCACAGAAATTTAAATAAGGAAACTGAAGGTAGGTAGGAGTCTCAAGGCTGATGGTAACTGGAAACCTCTTATAGAATTTCCGTAGACTGGCTTATTTATTATACAGTTGGCTCAGCAGAACCATTTTGTGATGAAACCGCAAGATGAGTCCCAGGCGGGACGGAGCAGGGACTCCCATTTGGCCTCTTGTCAACTTCTATTGCATAGAGAGCACAAGAGCCTGATTCAGTATCATACTTCTTTGGGGACCATGAAGGAATCCCAGGGGATCTTTCTCCCACTCTGGGAGAGGGTCTGGGACCCATTAGAGCAGCTGGACGCAATCCCTTCATGGCTGCTTCAGTGTCACTGC